TCACCACCATTCTCCCAATCTCTTATCTCCTTTCTCCCTCCAACAATACCTCTCTCTTGGCTTATCTTCCCTCATTCTCTTCAGGTATATTCCATTCCTCTATATTCCTTTACAAACGTCAATTCATTTTGTCTTATCCATCACCGTCTCACCTCCCTCCGTCTTCAAGTACAGTCCCTCCCTTCCTCCCATTTCGCCAACTTGTTCCAGCTCAGATATCAAACTTCATGACAAAATTCTTTACAAGGCGAGGGGTAGCCAGCCACCAGCACCATTTGTGTTGTTACGGTGCCTCAATGGTTGCGTGAGCGGGCAAGTGGTGGTGACGAGGAGGTTGTGTTCTCGCTAAAGTGCGGCCAGGTGTGTGTCTAAGGTGGGTGAGGGAGGAGGGGGGGGGTAGGAAGCAAGTATGCGTGATGAGAGTGTGGGGTGTAGATAGGTGATGAAGTACGTATACAGGTGAGTGTGTGTGTGTGAGAGGATTTAAGGAAAGTGTATTGTGAATGACTGGAGTGTGTGTGTGTGTGTGTGTAAGAGACCCATTTGTGCCCTGTCAGGTATTTGTGCTTACTTAGAATCAATAATTTGAATCAATCTTCTAACCCGTGTTATTCTGTTTTCATCTACGTTGGCAGAAGATGATAAAAATAACTAAGATTTTTACAACTATCCCTCGAATTACTCACTTCAGATTGTGTTTTGTAGGGAGCTATTTAAATACTAAGCTTGAATTAATTTAAGATACCACGACACTAGCAGAAATAGCAGCACTGGAGTTAATTAGGACAGCTGAGGTCAGGGCTGGCCAGTTGAGGGCCTTAAATACCTGACATCTCCAGGTACCAATAGTCCCTGATGATAAACTGGAGTGAAGGCGATACAACCATGGTCCCTGAGTAATGAGGTCATTTAAGGGTCAAGACGATGTAGACCAAACCCTATCAAGTTTCACGTTAGCAAATACCCATATATTATTACACAGCTTTACTATTTATTATATTTTTTTCTTCTTGTGAGAGTTTCTCGGTAGTGTGGAAAAGGGAGTTTGTTGTCGGCCCTGTGTTAGTGTATAGGAGGCGGCCAGTGTACTCATAGATGCAAGGTCTTTAGACACAACACAATGTCATAGTTTCTACTCAAGACAACTTTTCGTGCTGGTATTTTTGGTTTTATTTATCGTTTACACTGTAGTTTTTAACGACCTAAACCCTGTCGACTAAGTCGGGTTTAAGTGGTTTTGTGTTTGGAAATTACTGTATACTGTAGCTTATTGGGGTTAAGGAGTAGAGCCCATTAAAGCGGTGGAATGATGAACATTATTGATTTCTGCCCAGCTGAAGGTAAATCCAGAATTCGGTGAGTTTTTTTTTTTAGGGGAGATGACTACCGTTTAGAGGGAATCAACTTTGTACAAATGTTGAATGTTTGTGTTAAAGTACATGTGTATACGTAAACAGCACACATATCTATTCATATGTTTACGTGTGTGTTTGTGATATAAAAGATCTTCCTCTTCCACAATAAAGTTGATATTAACTAACAAGAGAACTGGCGCGTCACATCTTAGGAACACACGAGCAGAGCAGGCGGTGTGTCTAGTGAGGTCTTGCTAGTAGCCGAGGTCCTACCACTAGCAGACGTAGTAGTACAGTTGCTATTTACGTCAAATCTACACACAGAGTTAATAACCAAAACAAATATAAATTATGATCATCTTTACGGCTTGTTAGGATTCACAGTAACATCAAATTTGTTATTGAAACTCAGTGATAGAACCTGTTGCTCCTCTAGCGGGGTTTTATTCAACTGTGCTCTATCGCTGTTGAATTTTATTAATTACTAACTTAAAGTGTTTACGTTTTACAGTGTAATACGTGCGGATTTATCGTATTAATTTACACATATATATATATATATATATATATATATATATATATATATATATATATATATATATATATATATATATATATATATATATATATATATATATATAGTATCAAACAGCATCAGATAACAGCCTAAGTGGTAATTTGTGTAAAGTTGATATAAATTAATATACCTGTACGTTATAATGAGTGTCCTGCAACTCACCAAATTTAGCGTTAGTTTAGACTGGCTTATGTATCATACGCTGGGGAGTATGTCTTTGGAGTGATCGTCTCTGTAATGTAAACCTTATCGAATAGTTGCCTAGTGGCCGTATATACCTCACAATTGTTATTTCAGTAATGTGAAACGAACCTGATGGAGATTTGACTTAGTTATTAACGTTATAACTACTGGTATCGTGTAGAGGTAATTATTTATTATCCTACGGAGTATGTATCTGGTTATGGTCTCTTGTGCAATTTTACCGCCATTTTAGTTGGCATCTACTTAATAAGAAGGAGTTACAGACAATTCCACATCTTCAGTACAGGCAAAAAGTACATGCCCTTGAAAATCCCGGGACCATGACGGACCACTAATACCCCCTGTCGCAACGAGTGTCATGGGAGGATGACAGTGAATACACGTGACCTCTGGTTGACCTCGCTGACCGCTCCCTAACTCTTGAGACCCAGTGACCTCACTCCAGAGGTCACAGGAGCACAATCATGGCCAAGACACTTCCGCCCACCGTCTTGGGTCAAGAACTGGGTCACTGTTGAATTATTCATCTCAAAGTTTTACCATTAGTTCCCATAGTTGTTTATTTATATATTTATACGTCGGGTTTATATGGGTCTTCAGTTGATACTTTTTATGGTAGTTTTTTATAATAATAATTCGAGTGTACTTTGATAAGTTTTGTATTTAGCTTTTCAACAGATAATGCCGAGCGACACACACGCGATTCCTTCCTGTTTCATCTCATGTATCTAACTTGAATATCTTGAGAAAACAAATAAAACCTCAAATTCTGACTGGAAGATTTTTTTTAACTTCAACATCCCAGCGAGCAGAAGGAACGGCATCCAGCAATTACTATCACATTTCTCTATTGAATTTTAATTAAACAACTGAGACCATTAGGCTACATTCAGATTTATATCGACTACCCTCATTATGGTGTTACACTCGGTACAGTTTATACATCTCGCATGTTTACATAAATCATACTCTTGGTGGTGGCGAAGGAAGTACTTGCTATCATCCAGGGCCCCCAGTTATGAATTCCTCTTAGTTAAAACCCCGGAATTTAGCTTCTAAGATAGGCAATACGTCTAGAGGGTGACGGTAATGCTATTTTACTAGACTGTATCGAGAAAACACACGCAACGCTAACTCTCTCACACACGTTGGTCTCTCGTCACTTGGGGCTGTCATGCTGCCTCACCTGTTAGTGCTTCAGATGATAGAGAGAACATGAGGAAGATTAAACAAGATTGAATAGATCCACATATGTTTATCGATTGGTATATAGATAGATAGACAGGGAAAGACAGATACTATACATTTATCGATTGGAAAATAGATAGACAGAGGAGCAAATAGATACATCTATCGATTGGCATATGTATAGATAAACAAGCAAATAGACAGGGAAAGACAGAGAGACAGATATAATTATATATTTCACTAAATCGATAGATCTGAATTACTAAGTACGTGGTGAGAAATGTGGTAAAGGCGGAGTTGTACACGACTGAAAAATATTCCCTTAAGTCGAGGATGGTTAGTGGTGTGATGTATAGGTTGAATCCAGTGACCTTACTAAGTATATTTAGGCGGATTTGACCCTCGGAGGAGTTGACCCTTGTGTGCGTGTGTAGGTGTGTGTGTGCGCAGGTCATGTGAGGGTGTGTTGGGCTTACCCCGGGTCACTGTGTGTGTGTATGTATTGTAACAGTTTTTATGGGTGTCTTTTGACTTGTTTATAACTGCTTTTCACACATGAGAATATGAATAAATTTATTATATTTGTGTTTTTATTGATTTTTTCTTCATAATTCTCACCGAAGGAAAGGAGATGGTGATTACGCTTATACCTGACTTATTTAACACACAGGTAGGGAACTTCACTAAATGGTGTCCCGTACTGCCTTTTACTACACACTTTTGTATATCAAACACCACAAAACTTTTCATAAGCATTAATTATATTTTTAGGAAATATTTATGGTATTATCAGGGTTTTTAGTCTCGTGGTAGATGTGGCATGGTTCTTGAGACTGTTCCAGCTTATGCGTGCAGGTTCGGGTATTTGGGTGAGTGTAATTCGAGCGTGTAGGAGTATTGATGCCATTATTTTATACTTTTTATTAAGTACATCAACGTGAGTCATGTTTTGTACTCACCAAGTTGAATATTCGTAAAAATAATAAATTTTTAAGATGATTGCAATTAACTTTGATATACAAGATTTGCTTCTATTTCAACACAACCTTGAGAGGGATGACAAATTGTGGGTTATTTAAGACACGTTTGTACCACAAGAAATGAGATGTCCTGACTCATGAGACAGTAAACATGTACAGGAATAGATGGGTCTTATGTCGGGGTAAAAGGCGCTGTGAACACAAGCCAGAGCGAGGTAGAGTATCTTACCAACAAGAGTGATCAGGCACGGCGTATTGTCTCTCCAGTTGTTTATAGAAACTATTATTATGGTATTTCATTCCACTGGGGGATGATGCGAGACAGCGGATGTTGTGACAGTAAGAGGCAGGTTGGGTGAGAAACTTATGACACGAGATGCTGTGATGTATGACGAGGCATTGGGTGAGATGATTGGGGTACGAGGAACACTGTGAGAACAACAGACGGGGAGAAATGTGCAGTGAACAGACGTCGGAACACTCGTCAGCCGTAGATCCAGTATATGTTCAAGACAGTTCCGGACGCCCGAAAGTCGAACTGAGAGAATTACCACGACGTTCTCCTTAAAGATCACTTGTTGTCCCACTGGCACTCGTTAATTATATTGTATGGTTGGTTAGGTGCGATTAGTCAATCTAAAATCGGGTTAGATCCTGATACTTTGGTTTTGTCAGGTTATCTTGAGAGGAACCTACCTGAGCCGCCGTCAGAGTCGAGAGCCGCTTGGTGGTGCAGCTTCTTGGACAGGTTGAGGACCTCTTGCTCCCGCAGCACCAGCAGGCGGTTCAAGAAGCTGTCGTGACCGCCTAGATTCATTCGGGTAGACATGTCTGTAACTCCTGGTGGGGGACGAACGCAACTAGCGCTGGTGAGTCTGGTGCCCGCCGCCACCACTCTCGTGACACACGCGTCTGTCGCAACTGGTGGTGGTGAACCCCGCTGTCCCGTACTGCTCCTCACTGTCACCCACGCCGCCGCCAGCTACTCAAGAGGTCACTTGCCAACTGTGCAAATCTGAGTACTTCGCTCTTCTTTCTCTCTATCGTCTTTCGCCACTACTATTCCATGAGTGGTACATATCATAACACGACAGTTAATTTTAGTGTTGTATACATACACTTACTGTGTTTGGATTTCTAACTAATAAGAACCACTTTTATTCTGCAGTACTGACGAAAACTTGTGCAACTTCAACAAAACTCATTGAAAGAAAACGTCTGCATAAGTGAGGTCACGAGGGGGGGTACATAATCTTACCACAGCCAATCAAATGCTTCATGTGACCTCACCAACCAATTGGTGATCCTCCCGGAGGCCTAATAATGAGGAAAGGGCTGACCCAGCTTTACCTCAGGTCACACCGTCCACCACCACCAAATGTTACCCTAATCGCCCTCTTGGAAGGACCGCACCGAGAGCTTCCATATTTGTTGTGGCTGGTCACTGGGTTTTAATCAATATTACCACTAGTGATAGTTAAGAGTGGTGGAATAACACGCCCGGACCGGAATTACTCACCCACCAAAACTTTTAAAAAACCCTGACACGCAGACGGCCCGACGCACGCGACACGTCGTTTAAAGCGAATTATTATGCAAACACACTCACAAATAGTGGGCAAACAACACATGATACAAGGATACAGAATTCATGAGAGCAAACACTAGGAATATCAGTTACACCACAGTCGTGTTGGTTTGGGTTTGATGGAAATTAAGGATTATTAGTGTGGGTAATGTTGTGTGTTATTGACGAGAATGTTTAGCTCATCGCCACACTTTAGCCAGACGGGTCTCTTTTTGTGTGTGTGTATTTGTAGTTTAGTTGGTATGTCTGGCCTCTCGTAAAAACTTTACTCATTCCTCCATCAACAAGTCTCTTGTACAAGGGTTTTGCATTTCAGGGAAAAATGCGACGTAGCAATATTGTTAATGTTACTGTAGTTCTGCGAAATGGTCACTGCATACTAAAAATCTTGTAAATAAAGGTGATCTAAAATATTCTCGATAAAATCAGTACTAACCTAACCTAACCAAACCAAAGACTCGGAATACGGCATAAAGGGTCACTTGCATTTTCAGTCTTAATCGAATGACTAGTCGTAAAATTGAACACACACACACACACAGGTATGTATTAGTACACTTATTTATACTGTATGTTAATACTTCATGTCTCTCCATCAAATTTTAACCTGAATTTTTACGAAGGAACAAGTATTGAGTTTCGTCTTGACTCGTGCAATTACTGTAGTATATTACTGAATGATTTAGTTTACTCATAAATTTCTGTATTTCCCTTTTTTTAATCCTTTGGCTGCCTACCATAAATTTCTTAATATTCGTTGGATTTATTTTGAAATATTCCCGTTACTCACGCCGACGATAAAGTAGATTGATGCGGTCAGTGCCGTCTGTATATCTACAATTTAATATCCAAGGAACGGAATTAGCTACTGTGTGTGTGTGTGTGTGTGTGTTATGTCCCTCTGATACTTTCTTAGTGGATAATATTCTGTAGCGGATGAAAATTACCCGTCATCGTAATTTTGTCTCCAGGAAAAAGTTCTGTTTGTAGGATCTACTTTGGTACCTTTGGACTTTTCGATACCCGCTCAGAATCACACCCTAAAAATCGAACCTTCCCTTTATATGAGATTCTGGACTATTACTCTGGGTATATAACAATGTACTATCGTTTTATGTTGTTTTTCGGATCGCAAAGACAGGAACTTTCGGGGGCCGTATATAAGGAGTAAAAAATATAAATACTTCACAATTAATGTACGATCTCTGGCCTTTAGTGTTTGTTTGAAGGGGGGGGGGTGAAGGGACTCCTCCACCTTACATTCTCAAGATGGAAAACTATCGCTGCTGGCTCCTCGGGGGCTGCATGGTCACAAAGGTAATTTGCCTTACCTGTCTTTAATTAAGGGTTTGTCTAGGTGACCAAGGTGAGTGATGTACGACTGGCCATATTGAAATGACTGAGGGCTTATTAAGTTTGTATTTTTAATTGTAAGATTCTCTGTACCTAATTGTTTGTCATGAAACTGTTTTCGAATCGGTGGACGAGGGGCACAATTATGGTGTGGTATATCTCGACTTTAGCAAAGCCTTCGACAGAGTCCCCCACGAAAGACTAATCAGAAAGGTAGAAGCACATGGCGTCAAAGGTAATATCCTTAAATTGATTAGGGCGTGGTTACAGGACAGGAAACAGCGAGTGAGCATTAACGGCACTAAATCCCATTGGAGCAACGTCACTAGTGGAGTTCCCCCAAGACTCAGTACTTGGACCATTATTATTTATTATATACATAAACGACATAGATATCGGCATAGACAGCAACGTAAGTAAATTTGCTGATGACACCAAAATAGGACGTGTTATTAAATCTGACGAGGACCCCACAAAAATACAGGAAGATCTAAACAAATTTTTCGAATGGTCTGAAAACTGGTAGATGAAATTCAACGTGGACAAATGTAAAGTATTCAGTATGGGAGATGTAAACAGGGAAACCAGTTACCAGATGAACAACGATGCCATTGAGAAATACGACTGCGAGAGATTTAGGAGTAATGATAAGTTGGAACCTTAAGCCAAGTAAACAGTGTGTATTTGCTCGAAACAAGGCTAATAAAGTACTTGGGTTCATACAAAGGAGTGTTAGTTACAAGACTAGCGAGGTCATCCTAAAACTATATCTTGCGCCTGTGAGACCTCACTTGGATTACGCAGTTCAATTCTGGTCACCTTATTACAGAATGGATATACTGTAGAATCCTTGGAAAGAATTCAGAGGAGAATGACAAGGCTAATCTCGGGCATTAGGAACCTTGAGTACAGAGACAGGTTAAAGCATCTTAATTTGCACTCCCTCGAGAGACGTAGGCGATATGATAGAGGTGTATAAATGGAAGTCAGGGCTGAACAAAGGGGACATTACAAAGGTACTCAAACTATCCAACCAGGAGCGAACTCGTAACAATGGTTTTAAATTAGACAAATTTAGATTTAGGCGCGAAATAGGTAAACACTGGTTTGGTAACATTGTAGTGGATGAATGGAACAAGTTACCAAATATCATTAACTCGAATACGCTGGATAGCTTCAAACATAGGTTGGATGCTCATATGAGCAATAGGGGTTGGGTGTAAATGGGACTGCCCAGTATGAGCCAATAGGCCCGCTGCAGTTTCCTCCATTCTTATGCTCTTATGTATACCTCTTTCGACGTCAATATATATAGAGAGAGAGAGAGAGAGAGAGAGAGAGAGAGAGAGAGAGTTTTTCTGTGTATGTGTTTACATTATTTTGACACCGCCACTTACGCCATTGTACATAATCACAGAATATTGACTTCATACCATCTCCCAATGAGTTTCCTTTTAGTATCGCGAACCGTGGTCAGGAAGTCGCACAAAAAGTTGTTTAATAGCGCAAATTACATTTTATATATAAATATAAACCCATTGAGAATACAACCAGATCCATAGTTAATTTTTATGTTATGTTTACCCCATGTTTATTCTTTATTGTACTGAAAGCTTTTATCACGTTTGTTTATTGTATATTTTCAACCTTTTGGCTGCCATGTTCTCTCTGTTAACCGTTAATTATTATTTATTATTATTATAGCTGCTTGCCTTTATATTAGCCATTTTCCAATTTACTCGCTACTCTTTTAATCATTACTTTTTGCATAGTTAAAACGCCAAAAACTACAGTACAGTACATGCTAATTTATTTATCATTTTATTAACTAGAAATAAAGGCTGAACGTAATGATGTTAACATATCGTGAGCACTAGATCGTCAATATCGTTACTTTTATTGATCGTATTCGTCATTTTAAACTTTGCGTATATATGTATGTATGTAAGGTTGTGTTCCTAGGTTATTCAGAGTTGCTGGTGTCCATCTCGGTCCAGAATCGAGAGATTTCGTATAGGACATAATTACCACTTACTGTAGATACCACAGAAAGTTCAAGATGTCCAGGGAACGTTTGCTCTCCTCGCCTTCCCTGCTCTACATCCCCCCTCCCCCAGCTGATATCCTCCACCACTGCAAATTGTTAGGTCAGGAATGATTATGGAAAGGCGGTGACCAGTGTAAACGCGAGTGAAGTGCAGCTGGCAGGTGTGCCTTAGTGTGCATTTTATACCTGCAACCAAATAATATTAGGTGTGTGGTGGAGTGTTAGAGGGGAGGGGGTGGTGTTACTAGCTCCCCGTGTGGCGTGTTACTTGAGCATTAATATTAACACTATGGCAACACCGACACTCCCTCACAATCAGTCTCTAACACTTAAATCGAATTATCGGCCACTTCAGTGATAAATTTGAGCGCCCGTCCGTCAAAATCCTTGGGCAAGTGTTATTTCTAGATGTAATCAGTATTAATAACGACATATATAGCAAAGCGTATTCAAAGAAGGAGAGGGGAGCATATCATAGCTTATGCTTTTCACAAGTTATTTGCCGTTCTTGATATAAGATGATTATGGTAGGAGGTATTTCAGTTTCCAAATTTCATTATCTTTCGAGTTTGCAGATCAACAGTGTGTGCTTATTAGAGTTGTAAACTTGTAACCCATAATGTGAACATTTTAATTACTGTACACGAAAAATATTTACCGGACTCTTATCGATTTAAGCTGACAAACAACAGAAGACGACATATTTGATAAACCAATAAACACTGGGTGAAGACGTGTAAATATATCTAATATAATTACAGTATGCGCTTAAATCCATGCGTAACCATTCGCGTCATCTTATTGGCTAGTTTTAAGCGTTGGTGATTGGCTAAGATATCCCTGACTCCGTTATTTGGCGTGAGTATTGTTATCTTATTTTAAGTTGTAGGAATATTTGTATTGAATAAACAGCTTTATTTGATATTTACATTTATAACAAGAACTTGATCACCGGAAGAATCTCTACCCCAGCTTATTTCACCTAAGGATTAATAACACCTTAACATTTATCTGGAGGGGATCTGGTTAGGTTAGGTTATCATTAGGATGGTTAATCTTCAGGTGAAATAAGCTGGGGTGGCTATTCTTCAGGTGACCCCAATATACTTGTGTATATCTCGTACGAAAATGAGGTACAGTATATTTATATAGTATGTGAGTTCGTTTACGTGCGTCAGTGTGAATTATAGCTTGGCGCGTATTTGTGGTTTCAATTTGTGAATAAGCGTATGCGTGTACAGTGCTCGTGTGATAATATGATGTACAGGTTATTTCATCTTACGTGTCCTCACAAGTATGTGTATATATTTGTGTCGTGTGGGTAATCCATGACGTGAGCGTAATTTGGTTAATGTTGCCCTCATGGCAGTACAGGTTGGCGTGAGTGAGAGCAATGTTAATGTTTGACTGCCACATACTGTAGATGTACTTTTTATGGCTGCTATTGCTTACTGCCCCGTTATTGTTGTTGAATATGCTGTAGTGGAAAGGGTTATGTAGTATACTTTCACCCGGGCTTGTACTATGTCCTTAATGATCCGGAGCATTTTAGTGAAATGTTAGTTACAGGGGTTATAAATATAAGCAGTAATTATTACAGCTGAAATTAATGTCAAAGAAGGTAGTAACTGAGCTGAAGGAAGATGTGCAGGCTGACGGATAGTGATTTAGGAAATTAATACTGTACTTAGACTTGTAAAGGAACTAAAATGAAGGGAATGATAGCAGATATAAAGGGAAATTACTATACTGGCTAGACCCACGAGGCTAGAATAGATTATCGAGGGAGACACATCAGAAGTGTAGAAAGAATATACGAGGTGGGAATACGTAATAACGGGGATATATAAAGAAGGGGAGGAAGAGAGATGCAGGGAAGAAGGAAGAACTTATTTCTGTTTAACGTGGGGAGTACGTGCAATGATGAAAGCTTCAGGAAGGAAAATTAAAAGGATAGGATAACATGAATAAGCTGCATTTTTTGGACATTCAAATTAACAAGATATAAAAATTGCCATTGATTCTAGATCAGTAAAAGTCATCAAGAGTGTTTTTTAGCATGAATTTGAATTTTATTTTGAAAAGTGAAATCTTTTTAAGGCCTGCAAACCAAAAGTGTTGGTCAACATTTTGCTAAATAAGAAGCAGGGGTGGATCCAGGAATATCAAAAGGGGGAGGGGGTCCAAGAAGTTGTGGGTGGTGGAATTTTAGGTTCAGTAGAAACATTCTTAAATAACTTTGGTCACCTAAATTAGTTTCAGTTGTCACTAGGTTATTGAAGTTGTTTATGAAAAAGTAGATACTATGTCAGGTCAGGGATCTTCATCATTTTTTAAATACCTGTAAAGTAATTGAATTTGCAAACACAGTATATATTATGTTCATGTTTAATATGGGTCAAATGTGATAAACTATGTAGCCAAAGAATTTCTAACTGAAAGTTCATAAAAACACAACTATTTTTACTGACAATTATTAAGCTCATGTTGACACTGCTACACCTTGATGAATATCATGAAGCTACTGAATAAAAAATTATGTACTGTATATGATTCCAAAAAATAATTCAAAATAAATATGGTTCCCCAAACGATACTTTAAGTACTGTACACAATTTCTAACAAGCCATACATCAAGGAAGCCAAGTTAAATTGCAACATTTACGAGAATAAATATGGCTGTCACTCGTCAAAAAGGGATTAGGTAGGTCAACATATCCCAGCCAAATAAGAATATACATGTACCCAGTATGGTATCAGGTTTCAGCATTGGAAGTAATACTTTAGCAATATTAAGTGATTTTCAGGGTTGCCTAATCTACCCTAAACAATAGTCAACATTGATACTAGTTGAGGCAACATGAATGCTTAGGAAGGCATTTAAAAAAAGATGATATAAAACACCTATACTGGAAACATTTTACCTTATTTACCAAATCGCCACCCGCTAGAGGTGGCAATGCTGAGGGAAGGAGGCCTGTGCAGGATATCTCCACTGTTTTTGATAATTGTCAAGGGCTATTTTGAAGCCCAGTACTGTTTTGTAATTCCACAGCTTGGGCTGGGAGACCATTCCATAGGTCTGCCACCCTCTGTGTGAGGAAGTACAGTATTTCCTAATGTTCGTTCTGCATGGTAACTTAATAATAACTATAAGAATGATAATGTTTATTCAGTAAAATTATCATACAGGTTTGCAATAGATAGGCATTTTATAAACTATGTAGATACAGTATACAGTTCAGCATGAATATACTATAGACAATGTACTGTAGGTAAACTGTCCCTGTAGGCCATGGGAGTTCATACAGTTTCCTGTGTGCCTAGACAGTGTAGGTAAACAACAATGGTTAACAGTAAGGCAATTTGACCAAGGATAGCCGACAAAGCTGTAAGGTACTTGTAGTTTTTTATTTACAGTACAGTACTTATTTCTGCTTCCAAAGTAAAGTGCCCAGGAAAAGGAAAAATGATATCTACTGGATAATTCTAAACTGGTTATGATATACAGTACTGTATGTTTGTGTTTTGCAAGCTGTTCTCTTTTAATTAACTTCCTGGTCGTTTGGATAATAGCTTATGATAATAACAGGGTTAAAAATATCAGTCGGGCTGCTTGGAAGGTAGGAAGCTACACGTTATAAACCAAATCAAGCACCAATAGACCCAAACAGGGATTTTTAATGACTTTACTTGGGGAAGCAAAGGTGGTCAGAGCACCATAACAAATGAAGAAACAACAGTATTATTATTCCTGGGTTATTCAATGTTTTTTCTGGAACTCTGGATATATGACAAAGGGTTTCAAAGAGTAATTTTTATTTAACTACTGTATTGGATTTTTTTAGTTACACCTGTACTTAAGAATACTGTATGTAGAAGAGGATGAATACTGCAAAAGCAGGTACAAGAGGGAAGCAAAAGATAAGAATAAAAAACCCCAGAGAAGTGGATTAGTTAGATTAAACTAAAAAAGGTGACAAATCACTAAGAAAAGCACCATATAAAATGTAACAAAAGAAGAACCATAAAAGGGAAATGTGGTTCAATGATTATATATTTTGACTTTTTATACTCAGTACTACAGTAGTTTATAACAACCCCCGAGACATGTACAGTACAGTATTTTATAGTCAAGTTATGGTAACAAAGCTTTGACTGGTTTCATCTGAGGACCATTAATGCATTCCATGTTAATAAAGCTTGCAGTGGTTTCATCAGAAGTTGACTTATGAATTCGAAGTTAATCATTCTTGCAATGGTTTCATATAAAGTTTACTTGGAGAATGTCAGCCAAGTGCTGGGGTTGGAAATGAGGATCTTGTCTATAGCTTCTTGACTCAGTCCACGGTCCAACATTTTGGGAACAACATTTTTCAGAATGTGACCGTAGCCATGACCGCCATAAGCTTTCTGGAAACGAAAAACAATAATTTAGTTCAAAATTATTACTTAAATCTGCAATTAAGGTTATCAAGAGGGGAGAAAAAAGTAATGTATTTTTTCATCACTGTAAATGGTGAAGTAATACTGTACAGTGTTTACAAATTAAATAATTTTTTTTTTAAACTTAATACTGTATTGTAACCACAAAAATATTATACATACAGCACACTTCACATATCTACTAACACAAGAAAAATCTGTACTTGAGAGTTGTTCATCAAGTAAAATAAAACCGTAATTTTTTAACAATAATGTTATCAAGTTACAACACGTATTAATTTTTATACTGGGTCAGATCATTCATGGACACCCTGTATCACCATATTATTTATGCCAAAAGCTTTACTTAAAACAATTGGTATTTTTGTACTCCACTTCAATGACTTTTCAGTGATGAGTGCTCTTACTTATGTGCTCTTAATAATTCAATAGAGCTTAGAAGTTCATCAAGGAGAGACTAGCGATATACTTCAACAGAAACTCAACTTACACAAAAATTTTGTACCGGTAGTGGGTTAAGACAAGTCATCTATTAATATATATCCCATACATCAGAAAAACTCGCTCTTAATCGATATGTCTTCTACATCTCGTTGCCACCGAAATGAATGACTCTTTAACTCGGTACACAAGTGTAAAATTAAGAATTACTCAGGTCAATAGTGTTAAGAATCCACTGTTGTGAATGAGATTTTTCTCTTCAAGTATAAATTCTAAGAGCAAAGAAAATGGGTATAAAATTATTTACTAACCAGACGATGCACGGTGTGGATGTCGTGGGCCACGAGAATTTTATCGCCAAAACCATTATCAACCAAGTGCTTGATGCGTGCAATTCGCTGGGCATCAGACGGCATGTCCACTGATCTATCAAGTTGATAATGAGAAATTTCTATGCCAAACAAATCATATTCACAGTACGACCCAAGGGAAGCATATTCCACCAAAGCATCCAACTTGTGAATAGTCCCTGGAATGATAAATAAATATATAAATACATTGTAAAGGCACAGTATAAACTAATTCATTAGAAGTATGAGGCATACAAAAATATTATACATATCTTATGTGGAGATAAATATGTAATACTGTAGTGACAAAATTATAAGATAGAAATCAAAACCACCACACTTTTGGGGGGGGGGGCTACTATTAAAGGACAGACAGGTAATTTTATTTTATTTTATTTATTTACCTCAAGTAAAAGATTATTAAACAGTATTTTGGAGTTATATTTTTTTTATTTAATGCCAGAGTACTGTACTGTCGTGCTTTTTAAGAATTTTTTATATTTGATATAATTTCTTCTAACTTTTACAGCATAAAATAAGGAATCCATACATATTTAATTTAAAATTTTCTTCTGCTGTCAGTGATGTTTTTAAGAAATATTAATGACAAATATGAAGATTTGATGATTTTGCACTGATAAAAAAGTGCCTGTCCTGTAGTTGAAAAGGACCAGTTACCATATCTTATTTTACTGGAGAATTGACACTCCTTGGGAATGTAGCTTGGATGAAAAACATGTCCAAAGAGTGGAGACAGCACCTCTCACTTATGCTGAAAGATTTTGCCTTAAAAACTCAACCCTGACATGAGCATATATATTGTACAATCCGTTTCACAAGTGCATTTACAGGGGCTCATCAGGTTTTGTGCAGGGTGGCAGAGCTGTATTTCCTTATATTCGACAGAAGGAAACTTGCAACAGTAAACATACTATGGAATAAAATTAAAACCGTATTAAAACAATAGTCTCACAGATAATGATTTGTGGAATGTTTACCGTATATGATGAGCCCCTATAAACACACTTGTGAAGGCGATTGTACATGTTTTCATTAATTACATAACTACTCATATTAATGTTTTAGTAACAAAATTTATACGTTTTTTTCCAGAGGGTTATTAGAAGACCAGATGTCATACTGCCTACATTCTCCATATGATCTGAAGCTCGCTCAACATGGAATAAGTTGTTCTTCTAGAGTGCAGACCTCATGTTGGACTGGGTCTGGCTGTATGTACACTACTGTATTAAAAGGTGGGTTTTCTATCATTAAATTTATATTCACATTATATACTTATAACCAAGATTTTTTTGAGGTACAGTTTCTAAGAATACATACATATAGTTACTGTACTGTGTCTAAAAATTCAGTCACTAAACAATCACATTCCAACCAAATTAAAGATGTTACTGACTATCAAGGTGACCCATCACCATCTTCTTAGCATCGCCACCTGCTTCCGTGTAGATCCTGAAAATTTCTTCAGGAGCATTATAGTGCCGTCCTGGGTGAAACATTACAGGACATCCTGTACATTCCTGTGTTTCTCCCGCTGCCTGGATAGTTTTCCGTTCAAAGTCTGAAATTAATATACAAATATAATGTTTAATGTACTGTATATTGTACCTATATTACAGTACAGTACATATACCTGTACACTGTATTGGGTCAGAGCTGTTACTTTCTCTCGAATCACAAGTGAGCAAAAATATTAGTAAAGAAACAGAATTAAAAATTATACACAGGAGTGGCTCAAAACTTTGTTAATTTATATTACTGTATACGGTAGGTACGATATGTGTGACAGCGGATAACTCCTCAGCCACCAAAGGTTAATAAATTATGCAAATGAGGATGACTCCATATACGGTACACCTATCGTCATAAACTGGCCCTGGTAATTCAGAAAAAAATATACAGTAATAGAGCTCCTAGTTATATATATATATATATATATATATATATATATATATATATATATATATATATATATATATATATATAGGTAGAAGTAAAATAGACAAGACCAGTATACAGTACCCTATTGGCTGTACCTACCGTATAATGGCCATGAGCAACCAATTTCCCCAATGATACCGCACTTAATATCTGGGGTGTCTCCGCATCCAAGAGTCAACTCTGGTGTCATGGAATTTACCATTGCTTCCACTGATAACCCTAGGGTCTCTCTTGTCTGAGTGTCCTTCACATAGTAACCTGAAAAACAAATAATATTTTAGTGTTTACAGCACGTTATCAGTTTTTAATTAAATAAAAGGGAATGCTGTGTCTATAAAAGAAGTTAACACTGTAATGTTAAGTGGAATGAACAGTTATTGAAGTGCCTAAAGAGAGACAGTAATGTAGTTTGATATAATTTCCAAATTCATTAATATTAATATTTATATATTAATCATGAGTAAGTACAGTACTCGGCTACTATAACTGCTATGGATACAGATAATTACTGGGTCAAGGTGGTCAAGTTCATCATATAAAATATAGTGAACTGAACCTAGCTCTGGGGGTGAACCACAGCAGAGTGTTTGATTGAACTTAGATTTTTTCATTACTGTACAAAACTTCTTTAATTATGACTTTAATAAATAATATTTACAACTCAAACAAGATAGTGATTAGATATAGAAAACTGTAGTCCAAGTACTGTACAGTACTGTAATAACTGCAAAGCATTATTTTGAATTCTTCTATATCTGTTTTCAGTACAGTACAGGTACTTGGTTAAACACTTGTTCATCATTAGTTTTACAAAGAGCTCAATGGGTCTCATAATTGTCATACTCACTGTCCAATTCTCTTTTATTCAACTGAAATGGTAAATATGCTTTAACATTTTTAAACACCCATTCCTGCTATAATACAATGGCTAAAATTAAGAGCAAACACTGTACCTGGGCCATTTTTTTTCAATCACGCCATTATTACACCTACTGTTAGTGACAACAAATAGCCCTTAAGTTAAAAATAACTGCTAGTACATCACTTGGTTAAGGTTTGTGGGCAATTTGTATAATATCATAGATTGTACAGACACTCCCCGGTTTATGGATAGGTTCCGTTCCTGGACCCTTTCTGCAAGCCAAATTTTCTGTAAACCGAAAATGACCCTTCCATAAGGTAAACATGTATAGTATCCTATACTTAATCACAGATGACATCTCACAAGGGTATGCGCTCGGCCACCTTATGCATAATCTTCCACAAATAGGGTTGTTACACCGTACTAGTTATCTTCTGTATATTAACAGAAACTGTTGCGCAATCTGAAAATTTTTATAATGGGACTAATAGAAGGCATTCTGTATCCTTGAATTCCTGTAAACCGAGTGTTGTGTAACCAGGGGAGTGTTTGTATGTATAAAATATTCGGAAATATTATTGCTAAGCTATAGACTTACTTATCCTCTTCACTGGTCAGGTTACTAGCTGCTTGTAAGAAAGAAAATATTACTGTAGTATATTAATATAATTATGTAATTTGAATGACAGAAGTCCTCAATTCACAATGTTAAACTTAAAGTACAGGTAAATGAGGAATTATATGGATCTATTTTCATTCCTCAAGTTTTCTGGTGATGTACTACATTAGCTTATTTAATTTACACTTTTATTACAATTATCATTATGAAGTTTTGAGGACATGTTCCACCACATTTACAGTGTATATGAGTGAATGGGTCTAAAGAACGTATAATTTCTTCATAAATGAATGAAATGTTGAACTTACCTGTTCCTGCAATAATATTAACTCCATGCTTGAGACTTATTTCACGCATGAAGGAGACATTTCTGTTTAGGCCTTCATTGCTGTTCTCAACAATGGTGCCACCACCTAGTTTTTTGAACTCTTCTATGTCATTCATCACTGCTGCTTTAACTTGAGGTCCAGTGAACTTCAAATTTGGTTTGTGAGAGTACCTAGGGAGTACATAACAAGTTGACCAGGATGATGTGCAAGGCTTTTTAATCTCTATTATTAAGTAAAAGAACTACGGTAACATTTTGTAATCCAAATTTAAAGCCTGATTATGTACTCCACTTAAGGGCTATATTCCACTAATCATGTGAATCCATGTAGAGAGCAAAAAAAAAAAGTACAAATAAAAATACTGCTGATTTGCATAAATAATATGAAGAAAAGAAGACATACGGATTTTGTCTGATCCATCCTATGTTTTCTAGAGAAAACTCTGCATTCACCATGTGCTTATCCTCTGCCTTTGGTGGGACGTACGTAAAGTCAAACTCCATGCAGAGATGCTCATGGGTAAAGGTCCTCCCCAAGGAGCTGGGTTCCACCCAGCCACACACTGAAAAATAAACAAACTAAAATCAACCATTTCAAACACAACAGAAGCTTAACCAGCTGCAGTGCTATACAGTACTGTACATGATATAGTGCATACAGAAATTAAAGTCTTTAGTAATACAGTCCTGTACTGTACAGTACAGTACAGTATAGTTAAAAAAAATGAAACTGTTGTACATGTACTTGAGAAGATTCATGCATTCCACTGATGGCCCCATTTTGTGTGTGTGATGTTCAATAGGCATAGTGGCACAATTTAACATTAAAATACAACTTGTTCTTTTTATCAAATAGCCAAAAAAATTTGTATTAAACTTAATGGAAGTTCGTTATTACAGGGTACAATTTGCCCTGTTCATTTAAGATGCCATATAATATATTGTATATTTAGTGTCTGACAAGGTAAAGCACTTGTAAGTTTAAGAATTATCAGGAGTGGCACTTGATGACACTACCGTCTGAGTAGAGAAGAGGCTATTGAGCTGGAGTCACAGGCGTGAGCCTCTTCCAGAAGATCATTGTGAGTATCTGTGAGTAATGACTAGGATCCAAGCAATTCAGATGATAACAGTAATGGTGGCTAGGTTATTATGTTAACCAGTAATATTTGTACTTTAACAATATGCCCCCTACAAAAATTTTAAAGAAAATATATATTTTTTCTCAATTAAACTAACCTATGAGGGTTAGTTTTTGAAGTAGCCAAACCTATCCTAGGTTAGATTATCTTTTATTAGGTTGTTTGAAGACATAACTAGTACCTGTATAAGTACTGTGATGATTTAAAAACAATTGTAGTGGTGGACTGGAAAAGTGCAATACAATTTGAAAACCAAAGCACCTGTAAACAAGAAACTTTTGGTAAATTATAGTTCAAGGTCCTTGAATATACACAATACAATACTGTACTCTAATTAATGGACCCCGTTTTGAAACTGTGAATAATAATTACAGTATTATATTTAAAAACTATTATAAGGCACAGCATCTGCATTTTCAGCAGATAAACAAAAACCATTTGAATAAGATTTTAGAATAAAGTACAGTATATGAACCACTGAATGACATGCAATATAGGTACTCAACCCTGGCAAAGCTCAGAGATTAAAATAAAACGGCTTTTCAATGGTACTGTAGTGGAATTCTCCCCTACAAACGCTGTTTGTCGCTGCCTAGCCGACCCCACCAATTCCCCAGTGTATGCCTCGTGGTCTAGGTCAACCAGAGCCGCCATACACCAAGGAGCGGGGGTCAACTGCTAAACCACGCCTACCCCTGCTATTTAAGACCTGACCTCGAGGTGATCTCTCTCCTTCTACCTACACCAACCAGCCAGCAACACCTCCGCCTGCCTGGCGGTCCTCTCTCCAGCTGGCGAGCATGGCGACCCACAAGCTGTCCTTCTCTGAGCGTCCTCACCAACCAGCTCTCTCTACATCACGCTTGTAACCATGCTGCCTTCCCAGCACCAAGCTGCATTGTACATCCAATACAACATGTATATAGAGAGCACATTGTGAGTTTCCTTTCTCCATTCCATCCTGAGTGTGAACACCAAACATCTCATACCCCACAGTACTGTAGTTTGTATCAATTAAGCACTTCAAAGATGGTTAAATGAAAGCAAGAGAAGACAGTGATAGTGATGCTGCATTGCTCTATGAATTGTCTAATGAAAAAGACTATTTTAAGTACCGCAATCTATTTTGGATAGTACAGTACATACCTGTATTATCATTTGATTTGGCACTTCAATCTTGCGTGTTAACACCCAGACTATATGTTTCAGAGGTTTTTGTATTTTAATTGGCTTTTTACCCAAATAATAGCAATTTTTATAACAGTATTTTGTATCTGTTGTAGTTTTCTACCCCGTATAATTATATTCCCAACTAGTAACCATTGTTTATTTCTAACTCGTGTTCAGTGACTTTTTTATTTTTACATTTTATGGCAAATTATAGTATATAAATAGTAGAGTATTATTACTGGAACGAATTATGAGCCATTCTAGAGATGTACTGCAACTTTTTACTTGGACAAAAACCTCAAATATCTACATTAGGTGCGCGAGAGCGGTAAAACAATATAAAATGTATTGTCTATCTATGAACAAACGTCATACTACCATTCTAGTACAGTACATGCTAATTTTGATGTCCTACCTGTTTGTACTTTACCCTTCATCGTCTTTTGAACTATGGTGTGTAGTCTTGGGAACTTGAATTGCGAGTTATTTCTGTGTTCGTTATGTGTCAACTTGATATAAAGCGTACGGGAACCAAGATCTTCAGAACCGATACTCCAGTAGATGAGCAGAGGTCATCCGTCTCAGTTCTTCAAGGTTCTGTGACTGTGGGGCTTGTCCGCGTAGATACAGGGCCAACAAGCTCGACGACTACCTGTATGAATAACATTACTCCCTTCCTGCTGAGTCAGGATGATTTGTACTGATTTCCTGAGCAGCATTTGCAGTAGCAGGGCAAGCTTTGGTGGCTGACGTACGATGTTTTGGCCTCTTGGACGATCGGTCACTTCTCTGATATGCGCTGTTGGCAAGTGCTTGGTATGTGCTGGCTTTAGAATGTATCTGTGCCTGCGACAGTGTTGATAAATATTTATTTAGTTTATATAATACTGTAATGATAACTGGACAAAAAAAAAGCTAAAATATTGTTCATATTATATGTCGGTACTTAGATTAATAGGAGGATCAATGTCGAAGGGATAAAGATGTTCTAATTGGTTTATTTTTTAAGGTCATTATACCCCAAGTGCTATTTGAATGATATATCGTATACCGTATGCTGTACACCCACTAAAAAATATTCGGCACCCGTGTCATATTGTATGACGCCGTAAGGGTGCCGAATAATTTTTTAGTGGGTGTACATGATACCTGTACACACACACATGTATACATGCACGAGACATACATGTACACCCACTAAAAAATATTCGGCACCCGTGTCATATTGTATGACGCCGTAAGGGTGCCGAATAATTTTTTTGTGGGTGTACATGATACCTGTACACACACACATGTATACATGCACGAGACATACATGTACACCCACTAAAAAATATTCGGCACCCGTGTCATATTGTATGACGCCGTAAGGGTGCCGAATAATTTTTTTGTGGGTGTACATATTTAAAATTCAATAAATAGGTACATGTCAAACCAATTGCCATGAATGTGTAGCTTAAAGAACAAAAGTATATCCTTGTTTGGCTAAATCTTCAGTTGTATTTTATAACCAGGGATTACCAATAAAACCTCCACAAATGACAGTTCCGGGGCCCCGCCTTGGTTGTGGTAGTTAAGTTGGCAAGTGGCATTGTGGCAACGGTAGACACCGTTGCCATTTTTTTTTTTTTTTTTTATCCTCTTCGCCACTGATCGGCTTGTTAGCCGCTTGGGCGATCGGTCACGTCTCTTTTCATTTATATTCTTCACCAAAAGATCGGCTCGCTAGCCGCCCGGGCGATCGGTCACGTCTCTGTCACGCACTGTTGGCAAATACTGGGCATGCACCGGCTCCTGAATGTACTTGAACCCGCTCCAGTGTTGATCAAGTCTTCTCTTGAAAGCGCTCACACTCGGTGCCGTCACAACACTCTCTGGTAGATTGTTCCAAGAGTTTACAACCCTCACTCCGAAAAAGTTTGCCCTCACGGTTTTCTGGACTTGCGGCTTCTTCAATCTTGAGCTGTGACCCCTTGTGGGGCGAGCGTCCGCCAGCTCCAAGTAAGGACACTCAACTGAGTAGTGCCCCCTGAGATGCTGCCCCCCCCTTGCCCGTCTGTAGTATAAGCTAGGCAAGTTCAGGCGCTCCAATCTCTCAGGGTAGCTGAGGTGCCGAAGTGCAGGCACCAGTCTGGTGGCCCTCCTTTGAACATTTTCAACCAATTGACAGTCCCTAGCATATCTCGGGGACCAGATGGGGTGACAGTACTCCAGATGGGGAAGCACTTCACTCCTGAAGAGCGTCACGAGGGACGGACCGTCTAGATATCTGAACGACCTTCTTATAAGACTCAATAATTTATTTGCCTGATTTACCTTCTTCTCACAATAGCCCGAGAACTTCAGCTCATTGTCAACATACACACCTAGGTCCTTCTCACACACAGTCTCAACTAGTACATTTTCTTCATCCCGTTGGGACATATGATACGCCTCCTTACCGTTGGTACGCCCCAGGTGCATCCTCTTACACTTCGTGACATTGAATCTCAGCAGCCATTTCTTCGACCATTCCTGGAGCCTACAGAGGTCCTACTGTAGCTCTTCACAGTCCGCTTGGTTCTTAATTTCCCGAAATAACTTGCCATCATCGGCAAACATTTGTATGGAGGAGTGTACAACGTTAGGCATGTCATTTATGAAACAAACAAACAACAGCGGGCCCAATACACTGCCCTGTGGTACCCCACTTGTTACAGGTACAGATGACGATTTCGTGCCATTAATCACCACACACTGCTTGCGGTCATGTAGAAAGTCTTCTATCCACGCTAGGACATTTCCCCGAATTCCGTACCCTTCCAGTTTGATTTTCAGCCTTTCGTGGGGTACACTGTCGAAAGCCTTGGCAAAATCTAGGTAAATATTGTCGATATTACCACCCCGTTCTAGAATATGGGTCCAAATATCCAATACCTTGAGCAATTGTGTTAAGCAAGAGCGCCCCGGCATAAAACCGTGTTGGCAATCTTTTACAAGGTTGTTTCGTAGTAGATGTTCCATCGCGGCATCTCTGATAATACTCTCAAGTACTTTACATATTATGCTGGTCAGGCTCACCGGTCTATAGTTGTTCGTGGAGTGACTATCGCCCTTCTTGAAGATAGGACTCACATAGGACTCGCAAAGCTTTATTATGTTTTGACTTTCGTGATAAGAGGACTCGAACACACCAGAATGTTTAGGACAAATTTAGAGGGTAATACAGGTGTGATGATTGAGATACCATATATTAAGGGAACTCGTTTACAAGGTGTTATAAACTTGATCAAAACTAAGCGCGAGACGAAGTGAGGGCCTACTACTGAATGGCTCTACGGTGGTGTTTTAGGTTAGGTTAAGCTGATTCGTTTATCTATATTGTTGATCCTATTAAAAGTGGTTTATTTCTTTCTCTACTGTTGTATACTTAGCTTCTGTAAGTGCCCCGTGAATCACCCCATTAATGTGTTCTAGAATTGCCTGCCTTGGTTAGTGGTCTCAAAGCACTACCGTGGAATGCAAGAACCGATACTGTAAGATAATGTAAAGTGAAATAATATTTAATGTGTAATACGAACCTCATGATGTATAGTGTGAATTACTATTGTGATCTGAGTACTGTATATGTGTATCAACCAGGAATAACCGTCGAAAACCTGTTGTGGTGGATAAGGTCAAACTGGACAACACTTTTCTCACCTTCGACTCGTGGAGTAATACAAAAAAAACGGGTCACAGTGAGAGGCAAGACCGCTACCGATCAACCACATACAAATATACATACATACATACATACACCATGACACCATTATCTCTGGTTTAATTAAGATAATGTGTGAACCAATAAATGAACACATGTACTGTACCCGCGGATGGTATGTTGACCTTTGCTTAATGACAATGATTCTGGAACCCTTGTAAGATACTGCTGGTAGTGTGAGATACGAGTATACACACGCACGAGTACCTAACCTAACCAATAAATGCCATGTGAACTGTAGCTGAATCATCCACTTTCATGTGAGTATAAGAAAAAAGTTTGTGGATCGATGTAACGTGTGTCATCTAGCCTATAGTGACAGCCAGACGCTCCTAGCCATAGCCGATAGCGATAGGGTGTTGTGTTTTGAATGTTCTCGCGTTCTATTTAAACAATTTTATGCTCTAGATAGATAGAAAGAGATAGATCGGTAGGTAGATAGAGAGATAGGTAGATATATAGAGATAGGCAGATATATAGATAGATAGGTAGATAATATTATCTTGTGTTGTTGGTTCTATAGCATGAATTTGAATTTTATTTTGAAAAGTGAAATCTTTTTAAGGCCTGCAAACCAAAAGTGTTGGTCAACATTTTGCTATATAAGAAGCAGGGGCGGATCCAGGAATATCAAAAGGGGGAGGGGGTCCAAGAAGTTGTGGGTGGTGGAATTTTAGGTTCAGTAGAAACATTCTTAAATAACTTTGGTCACCTAAATTAGTTTCAGTTGTCACTAGGTTATTGAAGTTGGTTGGACATTTTTTTGCAACGTCCCAGATTGATTGCTCAAGCAAACTGAATGATTGTTTATGAAAAAGTAGATACTATGTCAGGTCAGGGATCTTCATCATTTTTTAAATACCTGTAAAGTAATTGAATTTGCAAATACAGTATATATTATGTTCATGTTTAATATGGGTCAAATGTGATAAACTATGTAGCCAAAGAATTTCTAACTGAAAGTTCATAAAAACACAACTATTTTTACTGACAATTATTAAGCTCATGTTGACACTGCTACACCTTGATGAATATCATGAAGCTACTGAATAAAAAATTATGTACTGTATATGATTCCAAAAAATAATTCAAAATAAATATGGTTCCTCAAACGATACTTTAAGTTCTGTACACAATTTCTAACAAGCCATACATCAAGGAAGCCAAGTTAAATTGCAACATTTACGAGAATAAGTATGGCTGTCACTCGTCAAAAAGGGATTAGGTAGGTCAACATATCCCAGCCAAATAAGAATATACATGTACCCAGTATGGTATCAGGTTTCAGCACTGGAAGTAATACTTTAGCAATATTAAGTGATTTTCAGGGTTGCCTAATCTACCCTAAACAATAGTCAACATTGATACTAGTTGAGGCAACATGAATGCTTAGGAAGGCATTTAAAAAAAGATGATATAAAACACCTATACTGGAAACATTTTACCTTATTTACCAAATCGCCACCCGCTAGAGGTGGCAATGCTGAGGGAAGGAGGCCTGTGCAGGATATCTCCACTGTTTTTGATAATTGTCAAGGGCTATTTTGAAGCCCAGTACTGTTTTGTAATTCCACAGCTTGGGCTGGGAGACCATTCCATAGGTCTGCCACCCACTGTGTGAGGAAGTACAGTATTTCCTAATGTTCGTTCTGCATGGTAACTTAATAATAACTATAAGAATGATAATGTTTATTCAGTAAAATTAATTTACAGGTTTGCAATAGATAGGCATTTTATAAACTATGAAGTTACAGTATACAGTTCAGCATGAATATACTATAGACAATGTACTGTAGGTAAACTGTCCCTGTACGCCATGGGAGTTCATACAGTTTCCTGTGTGCCTAGACAGTGTAGGTAAACAACAATGGTTAACAGTAAGGCAATTTGACCAAGGATAGCCGACAAAGCTGTAAGGTACTTGTAGTTTTTTATTTCCAGTACAGTACTTATTTCTGCTTCCAAAGTAAAGTGCCCAGGAAAAGGAAAAATGATATCTACTGGATAATTCTAAACTGGTTATGATATACAGTACTGTATGTTTGTGTTTTGCAAGCTGTTCTCTTTTAATTAACTTCCTGGTCGTTTGGATAATAGCTTATGATAATAACAGGGTTAAAAATATCAGTCGGGCTGCTTGGAAGGTAGGAAGCTACACGTTATAAACCAAATCAAGCACCAATAGACCCAAACAGGGATTTTTAATGACTTTACTTGGGGAAGCAAAGGTGGTCAGAGCACCATAACAAATGAAGAAACAACAGTACTGTACAGGTATTATTATTCCTGGGTTCTTCAATGTTTTTTCTGGAACTCTGGATATATGACAAAGGGTTTCAAAGAGTAATTTTTATTTAACTACTGTATTGGATTTTTTTAGTTACACCTGTACTTAAGAATACTGTATGTAGAAGAGGATGAATACTGCAAAAGCAGGTACAAGAGGGAAGTAAAAGATAAGAATAAAAAATCCCAGAGAAGTGGATTAGTTAGATTAAACTAAAAAAGGTGACAAATCACTAAGAAAAGCACCATATAAAATGTAACAAAAGAAGAACCAAAAAAGGGAAATGTGGTTCAATGATTATATTTTGACTTTTTATACTCAGTACTACAGTAGTTTATAACAACCCACGAGACATGTACAGTACAGTATTTTATAGTCAAGTTATGGTAACAAAGCTTTGACTGGTTTCATCTGAGGACCATTAATGCATTCCATGTTAATAAAGCTTGCAGTGGCTTCATCAGAAGTTGACTTATGAATTCGAAGTTAATCATTCTTGCAATGGTTTCATATAAAGTTTACTTGGAGAATGTCAGCCAAGTGCTGGGGTTGGAAATGAGGATCTTGTCTATAGCTTCTTGACTCAGTCCACGGTCCAACATTTTGGGAACAACATTTTTCAGAATGTGACCGTAGCCATGACCACCATAAGCTTTCTGGAAACGAAAAACAATAATTTAGTTCAAAATTATTACTTAAATCTGCAATTAAGGTTATCAAGAGGGGAGAAAAAAGTAATGTATTTTTTCATCACTGTAAATGGTGAAGTAATACTGTACAGTGTTTACAAATTAAATAATTTTTTTTTTAAACTTAATACTGTATTGTAACCACAAAAATATTATACATACAGCACACTTCACATATCTACTAACACAAGAAAAATACTGTACTTGAGAGTTGTTCATCAAGTAAAATAAAACTGTAATTTTTTAACAATAATGTTATCAAGTTACAACACGTATTAATATTTATACTGGGTCAGATCATTCATGGACACCCTGTATCACCATATTATTTATGCCAAAAGCTTTACTTAAAACAATTGGTATTTTTGTACTCCACTTCAATGACTTTTCAGTGATGAGTGCTCTTACTTATGTGCTCTTAATAATTCAATAGAGCTTAGAAGTTCATCTAGGAGAGACTAGCGATATACTTCAACAGAAACTCAACTTACACAAAAATTTTGTACCGGTAGTGGGTTAAGACAAGTCATCTATTAATATATATCCCATACATCAGAAAAACTCGCTCTTAATCGATATGTCTTCTACATCTCGTTGCCACCGAAATGAATGACTCTTTAACTCGGAACACAAGTGTAAAATTAAGAATTACTCGGGTCAATAGTGTTAAGAATCCACTGTTGTGAATGAGATTTGTCTCTTCAAGTATAAATTCTAAGAGCAAAGAAAATGGGTATAAAATTATTTACTAACCAGACGATGCACGGTGTGGATGTCGTGGGCCATGAGAATTTTATCGCCAAAACCATTATCAACCAAGTGCTTGATGCGTGCAATTCGCTGCGCATCAGACGGCATGTCCAGTGATTTATCAAGTTGATAATGAGAAATTTCTATGCCAAACAAATCATATTCACAGTACGACCCAAGGGAAGCATATTCCACCAAAGCATCCAACTTGTGAATAGTCCCTGGAATGATAAATAAATATATAAATACATTGTAAAGGCACAGTATAAACTAATTCATTAGAAGTATGAGGCATACAAAAATATTATACATATCTTATGTGGAGATAAATATGTAATACTGTAGTGACAAAATTATAAGATAGAAATCAAAACCACCACACTTTTGGGGGGGGGGCTACTATTAAAGGACAGACAGGTAATTTTATTTTATTTTATTTATTTACCTCAAGTAAAAGATTATTAAACAGTATTTTGGAGTTATATTTTTTTTATTTAATGCCAGAGTACTGTACTGTCGTGCTTTTTAAGAATTTTTTATATTTGATATAATTTCTTCTAACTTTTACAGCATAAAATAAGGAATCCATACATATTTAATTTAAAATTTTCTTCTGCTGTCAGTGATGTTTTTAAGAAATATTAATGACAAATATGAAGATTTGATGATTTTGCACTGATAAAAAAGTGCCTGTCCTGTAGTTGAAAAGGACCAGTTACCATATCTTATTTTACTGGAGAATTGACACTCCTTGGGGATGTAGCTTGGATGAAAAACATGTCCAAAGAGTGGAGACAGCACCTCTCACTTATGCTGAAAGATTTTGCCTTAAAAACTCAACCCTGACATGAGCATATATACTGTACAATCCGTTTCACAAGTGCATTTACAGGGGCTCATCAGGTTTTGTGCAAGGTGGAAGAGCTGTATTTCCTTATATTCGACAGAAGGAAACTTGCAACAGTAAACATACTATGGAATAAAATTAAAACCATATTAGAACAATAGTCTCACAGATCATGATTTGTGGAATGTTTACCGTATATGATGAGCCCCTATAAACACACTAGTGAAGGCGATTGTACATGTTTTCATTAATTACATAACTACTCATATTAATGTTTTAGTAACAAAATTTATACGTTTTTTTCCAGAGGGTTATTAGAAGACCAGATGTCATACTGCCTACATTCTCCATATGATCTGAAGCTCGCTCAACATGGAATAAGTTGTTCTTCTAGAGTGCAGACCTCATGTTGGACTGGGTCTGGCTGTATGTACACTACTGTATTAAAAGGTGGGTTTTCTATCATTAAATTTATATTCACATTATATACTTATAACCAAGATTTTTTTGAGGTACAGTTTCTAAGAATACATACATATAGTTACTGTACTGTGTCTAAAAATTCAGTCACTAAACAATCACATTCCAACCAAATTAAAGATGTTACTGACTATCAAGGTGACCCATCACCATCTTCTTAGCATCGCCACCTGCTTCCGTGTAGATCCTGAAAATTTCTTCAGGAGCATTATAGTGCCGTCCTGGGTGAAACATTACAGGACATCCTGTACATTCCTGTGTTTCTCCCGCTGCCTGGATAGTTTTCCATTAAAAGTCTGAAATTAATATACAAATATAATGTTTAATGTACTGTATATTGTACCTATATTACAGTACAGTACATATACCTGTACACTGTATTGGGTCAGAGCTGTTACTTTCTCTCGAATCACAAGTGAGCAAAAATATTAGTAAAGAAACTGAATTAAAAATTTTACACAAGAGTGGCTCAAAACTTTGTTAATTTATATTACTGTATACGGTAGGTACGATATGTGTGACAGTGGATAACTCCTCAGCCACCAAAGGTTAATAAATTATGCAAATGAGGATGACTCCATATAAACCTATTGTCATAAACTGGCCCTGGTAATTCAGAAAAAAATATACAGTAATAGAGTTCCTAGTTATATATATATATATATATATATATATATATATATATATATATATATATATATATATATATATATATATATATATATATATATATATATATATATATATATATATATATATATATATATAATCAACGACCTCACCAGCAAGGAATCGAACCCTCGACCTACTGGGTGTGATTATATGTTCAAAGTCCGCGTGTTATATGGACTAAAAATGAAGTATATATATGTACCTCGCGTTTCATACCAGCTGGATTCGGTAAAATGCTACTGACACCACATAAGAGGCACGGGCAGTTTCCCATTGAGGTTCACGGCGCCATCAGCTCGATGAACAGGCTTTGTGTGAAATATAACAGAGTCTAGAACTGCTTTTAGTGTCCTTGTGGCCTAGCCGGTAAGCGTTCCCTAGTCACACCCAGTAGGTCGAGGGTTCGATTCCTTGCTGGTGAGGTCGTTGATTATATGTTCAAAGTCCGCGTGTTATATGGACTAAAAATGAAGTATATATATATATATATATATATATATATATATATATATATATATATATATATATATATATATATATATATATATATATATATATATATATATATATATTCACCTGGTAGAAGTAAAATAGACAAGACCAGTATACAGTACCCTATTGGCTGTACCTACCGTATAATGGCCATGAGCAACCAATTTCCCCAATGATACCGCACTTAATATCTGGGGTGTCTCCACATCCAAGAGTCAACTCTGTTGTCATGGAATTTACCATTGCTTCCACTGATAACCCTAGGGTCTCTCTTGTCTGAGTGTCCTTCACATAGTAACCTGAAAAACAAATAATATTTTAGTGTTTACAGCACGTTATCAGTTTTTAATTAAATAAAAGGGAATGCTGTGTCTATAAAAGAAGTTAACACTGTAATGTTAAGTGGAATGAACAGTTATTGAAGTGCCTAAAGAGAGACAGTAATGTAGTTTGATATAATTTCCAAATTCATTAATATTTATTTTATATATTAATCATGAGTAAGTACAGTACTCGGCTACTATAACTGCTATGGATACAGATTATTACTGGGCTAAGGTGGTCAAGTTCATCATATAAAATATAGTGAACTGAACCTAGTTCTGGGGGTGAACCACAGCAGTGTGTTTGATTGAACTTAGATTTTTTCATTACTGTACAAAACTTCTTTAATTATGACTTTAATAAATAATATTTACAACTTAAACAAGATAGTGATTAGATATAGAAAACTGTAGTCCAAGTACTGTACAGTACTGTAATAACTGCAAAGCATTCTTTTGAATTCTTGTATATCTGTTTTCAGTACAGTACAGGTACTTGGTTAAACACTTGTTCATCATTAGTTTTACAAAGAGCTCATTGGGTCTCGTAATTGTCATACTCACTGTCCAATTCTCTTTTATTCAACTGAAATGGTAAATATGCTTTAACATTTTTAAACACCCATTCCTGCTATAATACAATGGCTAAAATTAAGAGCAAATACTGTACCTGGGCCATTTTTTTTCAATCACGCCATTATTACACCTACTGTTAGTGACAACAAATAGCCCTTAAGTTCAAAATAACTGCTCGTACATCACTTGGTTAAGGTTTGTGGGCAATTTGTATAATATCATAGATTGTACAGACACTCCCCGGTTTATGGATAGGTTCCGTTCCTGGACCCTTTCTGCAAGCCAAATTTTCTGTAAACCGAAAATGACCCTTCCATAAGGTAAACATGTATAGTATCCTATACTGAATCACAGATGACATCTCACAAGGGTATGCGCTCGGCCACCTTATGCATAATCTTCCACAAATAGGGTTGTTACACCGTACTAGTTATCTTCTGTATATTAACAGAAACTGTTGCGCAATCTGAAAATTTTTATAATGGGACTAATAGAAGGCATTCTGTATCCTTGAATTCCTGTAAACCGAGTGTTGTGTAACCAGGGGAGTGTTTGTATGTATAAAATATTCGGAAATATTATTGCTAAGCTATAGACTTACTTATCCTCTTCACTGGTCAGGTTACTAGCTGCTTGTAAGAAGAAAATATTACTGTAGTATATTAATATAATTATGTAATTTGAATGACAGAAGTCCTCAATTCACAATGTTAAACTTAAAGTACAGGTAAATGAGGAATTACATGGATCTATTTTCATTCCTCAAGTTTTCTGGTGATGTACTACATTAGCTTATTTAATTTACACTTTTATTACAATTATCATTATGAAGTTTTGAGGACATGTTCCACCACATTTACAGTGTATACGAGTGAATGCGTCTAAAGAACGTATAATTTCTTCATAAATGAATGAAATGTTGAACTTACCTGTTCCTGCAATAATATTAACTCCATGCTTGAGACTTATTTCACGCATGAAGGACACATTTCTGTTTAGGCCTTCATTGCTGTTCTCAACAATGGTGCCACCACCTAGTTTTTTTAACTCTTCTATGTCATTCATCACTGCTGCTTTAACTTGAGGTCCAGTGAAATTCAAATTTGGTTTGTGAGAGTACCTAGGGAGTACATAACAAGTTGACCAGGATGATGTGCAAGGCTTTTTAATCTCTATTATTAAGTAAAAGAACTAACATTTTGTTATCCAAATTTAAAGCCTGATTATGTACTCCACTTAAGGGCTATATTCCACTAATCATGTGAATCCATGTAGAAAGCAAAAAAAAAAAGTACAAATAAAAATACTGCTGATTTGCATAAATAATATGAAGAAAAGAAGACATACGGATTTTGTCTGATCCATCCTATGTTTTCTAGAGAAAACTCTGCATTCACCATGTGCTTATCCTCTGCCTTTGGTGGGATGTATGTTAAGTCAAACTTCTTGCAGAGATGCTCATGGGTAAAGGTCCTCCCCAAGGAGCTGGGTTCCACCCAGCCACACACTGAAAAATAAACAAACTAAAATCAACCATTTCAAACACAACAGAAGCTTAACCAGCTGCAGTGCTATACAGTACTGTACATGATATAGTGCATACAGAAATTAAAGTCTTTAGTAATACAGTCCTGTACTGTACAGTACAGTACAGTATAGTTAAAAAAAATGAAACTGTTGTACATGTACTTGAGAAGATTCATGCATTCCACTGATGGCCCCATTTTGTGTGTGTGATGTTCAATAGGGATAGTGGCACAATTTAACATTAAAATACAACTTGTTCTTTTTATCAAATAGTCAAAAAAATTTGTATTATAACTTAATGGAAGTTCGTTATTACAGGGTACAATTTGCCCTGTTCATTTAAGATGTCATTTAATATTGTATATTTAGTGTCTGACAAGGTAAAGCACTTGTAAGTTTAAGAATTATCAGGAGTGGCACTTGATGACACTACCGTCTGAGTAGAGAAGAGGCTATTGAGCTGGAGTCACAGGCGTGAGCCTCTTCCAGAAGATCATCTGTGAGTATCTGTGAGTAATGACTAGGATCCAAGCAATTCAGATGATAACAGTAATGGTGGCTAGGTTATTATGTTAACCAGTAATATTTGTACTTTAACAATATGCCCCCTACAAAAATTTTAAAGAAAATATATATTTTTTCTCAATTAAACTAACCTATGAGGGTTAGTTTTTGAGGTAGCCAAACCTATCCTAGGTTAGATTATCTTTTATTAGGTTGTTTGAAGACATAACTAGTACCTGTACAAGTACTGTGATGATTTAAAAACAATTGTAGTGGTGGACTGGAAAAGTGCAATACAATTTGATAACCAAAGCACCTGTAAACAAGAAACTTTTGGTAAATTATAGTTCAAGGTCCTTGAATATACACAATACAATACTGTACTCTAATTAATGGACCCCGTTTTGAAACTGTGAATAATAATTACAGTATTATATTTAAAAAATATTATAAGGCACAGCATCTGCATTTTCAGCAGATAAACAAAAACCATTTGAATAAGATTTTAGAATAAAGTACAGTATATGAACCACTGAATGACATGCAGTATAGGTACTCAACCCTGGCAAAGCTCAGAGATTAAAATAAAACGGCTTTTCAATGGTACTGTAGTTTGTATCAATTAAGCACTTCAAAGATGGTTAAATGAAAGCAAGAGAAGACAGTGATAGTGATGCTGCATTGCTCTATGAATTGTCTAATGAAAAAGACTATTTTAAGTACCGCAATCTATTTTGGATAGTACAGTACATACCTGTATTATCATTTGATTTGGCACTTCAATCTTGCGTGTTAACACCCAGACTATATGTTTCAGAGGTTTTTGTATTTTAATTGGCTTTTTACCCAAATAATAGCAATTTTTATAACAGTATTTTGTATCTGTTGTAGTTTTCTACCCCGTATAATTATATTCCCAACTAGTAACCATTGTTTATTTCTAACTCGTGTTCAGTGTGACTTTTTTTTATTTTTACATTTTATGGCAAATTATAGTATATAAATAGTAGAGTATTATTACTGGAACGAATTATGAGCCATTCTAGAGATGTACTGCAACTTTTTACTTTTACAAAAACCTCAAATATCTACATTAGGTGCGCGAGAGCGGTAAAACAATATAAAATGTATTGTCTATCTATGAACAAACGTCATACTACCATTCTAGTACAGTACATGCTAATTTTGATGTCCTACCTGTTTGTACTTTACCCTTCATCGTCTTTTGAACTATGGTGTGTAGTCTTGGGAACTTGAATTGTGAGTTATTTCTGTGTTCGTTATGTGTCAACTTGATATAAAGCGTACGGGAACCAAGATCTTCAGAACCGATACTCCAGTAGATGAGCAGAGGTCATCCGTCTCAGTTCTTCAAGGTTCTGTGACTGTGGGGCTTGTCCGCGTAGATACAGGGCCAACAAGCTCGACGACTACCTGTATGAATAACATTACTCCCTTCCTGCTGAGTCAGGATGATTTGTACTGATTTCCTGAGCAGCATTTGCAGTAGCAGGGCAAGCTTTGGTGGCTGACGTACGATGTTTTGGCCTCTTGGACGATCGGTCACTTCTCTGATATGCACTGTTGGCAAGTGCTTGGTATGTGCTGGCTTTATAATGTATCTGTGCCTGCGACAGTGTTGATAAATATTTATTTAGTTTATATAATACTGTAATGATAACTGGACAAAAAAAAATGCTAAAATATTGTTCATAATATATGTCGGTACTTAGGTTAATAGGAGGATCAATGTCGAAGGGATAAAGATGTTCTAATCGGTTTATTTTTTAAGGTCATTATACCCCAAGTGCTATTTGGGATCATATGAAGATCCCCCCAAAGTATCCAACTGAAGATCCTCCCCCAGTTGCGCTCATATGAAGATCCCCCCCAACATATAATATAAATAAACAACATAAGGATTAAATAATAAAACATTATTCAGATTACTTTCTTGTTACACTAAATATTGGTGTAGGTTAGGTTAGGTGGTCATAGTGACGTCAGGTCAGGTTTGGTCATTGGTCAGGTCAGATCCTCCCATCCAGGCTTGATCATATGAAGATCCTCCCCCCCAAGTAGGTTTGGGGGGAGGATCTTCATATGATCCGCTATTTGAATGATATATCGTATACCGTATGCTGTACACCCACTAAAAAAATATTCGGCACCCGTGTCATATTGTATGACGCCGTAAGGGTGCCGAATAATTTTTTAGTGGGTGTACATGATACCTGTACACACACACATGTATACATGCACGAGACATACATGTACAACCACTAAAAATTTCTTCTGCACCCTTACGGCGTGATACAATATAACACGGGTGCCGAATAATTTTTTTTTGGATGTACATATTTAAAAGTCAATAAATAGGTACATGTCAAACCAATTGCCATGAATGTGTAGCTTAAAGAACAAAAGTATATCCTTGTTTGGCTAAATCTTCAGTTGTATTTTAAGGCTTCATCAGGCGATTCTCCATATTTAGCTTAACCTACACACACACACATTAAAACGAAGCACGAGGAAGGGAATAATTTTAGTGAGAGGGTAAGTGCCTCATTTTATCGCCATTTTACACTCTACAAGGAGACTAATGGGAATGTGTAATTGAGGTTTTACGTGAAAAGTGATTTACTGGTGTGTGTGCGTGTGTGTGTGTGTAATAATAATAATAATAATAATAATTAACGGTTTATTGAAAGAGCTTGGCAGCCAGAAGGCTGAAAATATACAGTTACATATTTGGGGAATGGGTTACGAATTACAAATAATATACAAGTAACATAAGTGACACAAATAAGACTTATAATAACTAGATGGGGAAAAGTTCAAACTACAGTTCATTTCAACATAGTGACAGTGTAAGGAGCAGTGTTTACTGGGAGTGAATACACTGATTTATTACAAGTTATTGATAATTTTTACAATGGTTGGGACTGGGCTGTTCTTATAGCGATCAGTTCGTGCACGTATGGGCTGGATGCGGTTGTGGTGTCGAACAGCAATTCTCGGACTAGGGATCTCAGGTGGTAGTAGGAGCCGGTGTCGGGGATGGTGTGTGTGTGTGTGTGTGTGTGTTATTTGAGGTAACATTTATTTGAGACGTTCTAATTCCAGCTGTCGCTTTGATCATTACATTCTACAATAGGTGAGTGTTATTGGGTGGGAAAAAGCTGTCATTGTCTGCCACGGGATATAGTTTTCTCCTCTGTGATAACTTATCTCTAACTCTCATTAGTATTATCTATATCTTTCCTCATGTTTGTTTGTTACCGTTTTTCTTGGGACAGGTATGAAACAAATCGTTTCACTGGGGCTTCCCTTTGCTAAGACTGAAGGATTATCTGAACTAATTGGGGTTATAATTACAGGAGACACACTAAGACAGGGAGCCCGGGGTATAATAGAGCTGTATTGGTAGTGGCTGTGTTGAACAAGATTGCAACAGTAAAGTCAACGAGCTCCTTACAAATGGTAGATGAACTTGAGTCTTAACGCAGATGGAGGGTGCTAGATAACCCCACAGATAACTTATCATCTGTGCTCTTACATGCCCCGTAGAGTCACTAGATATGCTGCCAGGGCTCTCTCTTGTTTATGTGTTGTTACCATATAGGTGTCATGCTCATCAGCTCTCTACATATCTCTTGCTATCTACTGCAAATATATGGATGGGATTTTCCTTCTAGTTTCAGTGACTCCTTATAATGGTTTAAATAGTAGGCCAATCAAGGGGCATATGTCACTTTAAAGCGGAGTAACAGCAGCCACCCAGGGAATCAGGGGTAAGGAAAACATGACAATATGGTGGAGTGCATGAGCAGTTTTTATTGATTTTTTGTTGAATGATGAGTCCTTTAAGCCTTGTTCGTACCATACTGGCTTAGTGGCTTCCTGTCTGTGTTTTGTGTGGCGGATGTAAACCCTGAAATTGAAGAGGGGGGTGAGCGTGCAGAGTGGTGGGATGTTGCAAAGAGTGATATTACTTAAGGGGTATACTGAAAAATAAAAGGGTGTGACGGAGATAGAAATAAAGATTAAAATTTCCTGGCGGGTTGACATAGAACACAGGGTGGTGAGGGTGTTGCGAGTACTGTGTTTACTAGAGTGCCAGGAGACATACATTGAAATTGGTGGTTATATTGTGGATTCATTCGGGAGATGTGTGTATATTAAGACTATGGGGTACCAACTTTATTCATTATTATTTATCTTTGACAATAAGTGCTTTAATAATTGACATGGGTTCAGCTGGTATATTGTGCTATTGGTGTGTCATCCTCTGCTTGAAAACAATGTACTTCATTGTATTCATTCTGTATAACAGTTTGGCGACCTTTAAGCTACAACCTTTTGTATTTGTAGCGTTTGACATATTATTGGAGACGTGACTTAAGGTAATCTCTCTCTCTCTCTCTCTCTCTCTCTCTCTCCGCCAGATATTTTACCTAATCAATCAATTAATCAATTTATCTTTCTTATATATATTTGGGGTGGGTTAACGTGTGTGTATGTGTGTGAAAAAGGTTTGATGTATTTACATATTCTTAAAATAAGTCGTGAATTGCTGTATGTTCCATCGTTGCTATTTCGTCGTTTTGTATAGTCTGTGCTCGTAACAGACATGGGTTGTTACTACCCTGGAGTTTAATTTTCATTAGAAGACTGTAGCTCAAAAATTTATAACCAGGGATTACCAATAAAACCTCCACAAGTGACAGTTCCGGGGCCCCGCCTTGGTTGTGGTAGTTAAGTTGGCAAGTGGCATTGTGGCAACAGTAGACACCGTTGCCATCTTGATGCGCAAAGCTTTATTATGTTTTGACTTTCGTGATAAGAGGACTCGAACACACCAGAATGTTTAGGACAAATTTAGAGAGTAATACAGGTGTGATGATTGAGATACCATATATTAAGGGAACTCGTTTACAAGGTGTTATAAACTCGATCAAAACTAAGCGCGAGACGAAGTGAGGGCCAGTCACAGTGAAGCGGTCGTCGCGAGTGTGTTGGAGTAGCTCCCGTTCTTCCAGTTAGTGAACACCTGTGCCAACCTCCCAGAGCTGTACCTGCCTCTGCAGGAGAGTTGAGCAACAACAATTGTGATAGACGTGCCTCTTGCGTAATAAGTGATATTGTGTGTGTGTGTGTGTATTATGGCAATCTGTGTATATATTGTAAATTAGTGCGTCTGGATTTGCTGTGTTTTAACCATTTTATATAGATATGTGACGCTGGATTAATTTTAATGGAACTTTAAGGATTGTTGGGTGGTATGTGTAGCCATGAGTAGTGTTCACCTATTGTGATTTTAGGAAGACTTGGAAAATTAACTTCCGGTAATCATGATCTGTTTAAGCTGACGGGAAAGTCCCAGGAGTTCGACAGTCCCTCGTCTCGTTTAGCTAAGAGTATGCCATGCTCCAGTGAGTGTATTTGAATACATCCACATGGAGAGGCAGGAGGACATCATAAAGGACTCACCTGGGGAGGGGGAGGTGGAGATCCATCCAGAGCCCAGCCCCCCCCAGGAGGAGCCCAGGAGATCTCGTGGTTTTCGGCGTCGTATGTCCGAGTCCGCACGAGAGATTCCTGGCGAAGGAATATCCCGCCTAGCTCGCTTGGGCAATGGTATCCGCCGTAGGTTGTCCGGCTCCACGCGCGACGTGTCCACCTACGGGGCAGCATCCGCCGGTGAGACGGCTACCGAAGGTAAAAGTGGCAGCAATGGCCTTGCACGGCACCTGTCGGCATCCATGAAGGATCTCCTCCAGGGAGGCGTTCATCGAGGGGAGGGTGACAGCGAGAGCCTGGGGCGGCGAGTGTCTCGTCGTCTGTCCCTCCTAGCGGGCACGGTTACCTCCAGGGCCGACAACACCCGCGGCTCTCTGAGGGCAAGACTCCCAAACTTTCGACGCTCTCGCACCTTCACCGTGACCGTCGTCCTCCCTGACTCCTCCCTCAGGACGGTGAGTCTTTTTTTTCCTCTAAAAAAATAACCTTAATTCTTGCCTGTCCCTTTCTCGTAGTCCAGTTTTTTGTACCTCATGAGTGACTGTCTGTGGTTCAGGCGACCTTGATATCTCCTTGTTGTGGCACTGATCTTGTAGGACAGGCAAATACGCTAAATACTTGTCACATGTTCAAGTTAATGTTGTGACACAAATCATAACATCGAATATAACAATTTTGACACGAGATTGAAACCTGCAACGAGATTGAGTCTAATTAATTAATGACACGTGTTAGAACTCGTGAGTCATTAAGGTAGGTTTATGATTTCTGACTAAACCATTAACGACGACGAACAAGATAAAACCATCCTGGCCTACTACTGAATGGCTCTACGGTGGTGTTTTAGGTTAGGTTAAGCTGATTCGTTTATCTATATTGTTGATCCTATTAAAAGTGGTTTATTTCTTTCTCTACTGTTGTATACTTAGCTTCTGTAAGTGCCCCGTGAATCACCCCATTAATGTGTTCTAGAATTGCCTGCCTTGGTTAGTGGTCTCAAAGCACTACCGTGGAATGCAAGAACCGATACTGTAAGATA